TTTGGAACACCCGAGACAATTGTCTCCGACAACGGAAAGCAATTTATAAGCAAGGAATTTGCCGACGTGACAAACAATTTCGGTATTAAACACGTCCGAACCGCGATCCACTCGCCGCAAGCCAATGCGTCCGAGCGTGTTAATCAGTCCATTCTGGCAGCTGTAAGGTCGTATCTGCAGGAAGACCACACAGAATGGGACAAGCATTTGTCCGAAATTGAATTTTCCTTAAGGTCTTCCGTGCAGTCGTCCATCGGAGTTACGCCTTACTTCGCCTTGTTCGGAATGAATATGATTGGCCATGGTAGCGTTTACCAGTTGGCACGAAAACTGAAAATCTTAAATGATCCAGAAATTAACGTCATTCCGAATGCTGCTAGATTGGATCTGATCCGTCAGAAAATTCGCGAGAATTTACACAAAGCTTACGCTCGCAACGAAAAATCGTATAACACGCGGTGTCGTCCAATTAAGTTCATTCCCGGTCAGGAAGTCTACCGACGTAACTTCCAGCAGAGTGATTTCAAAAACAATTTTAATGCCAAATTCGCTCGAAAATTTCTAAAATGCCGAATTGTACGACCAGTCGGAAACAGTCTGTACGAGGTCGAGGATATGCAGGGAAGATCGTTGGGGGTTTTTCACGCCAAAGATTTAAAGCAATAGCTTTAGAATCTTTGGTGGTTCTAGTCCCAACATGTTCTCCTGCTTATCTTTCGCCTGTCGTGTCTAGTAGTCAGCCTTATCTAGTTTGTACTCGATAGGTAACTATAATTGGATAAAGTCTTTTGAGTTTTGTTATTAATTGAAAATCTATCTCTCGCAGTGAATTTCTGTTTGGTATAGTTGTTGTTGTATCCTGAGCAGTATTGAGATCTGTACATATCGTTCATTTATATCGTAGTCCAGTGAGATCCATAGCTTCTTTGGAATGAATAATTATTTGTTTGGTTCGACTTAAAGCCAACGTTTCTTAGCTGGTTACATGTGTAACCGGTCATTACCCTATTAGAAGGTGCAACCCCATCAAAGCCTTCCGGTACCGTGCCATTAAAAGCGTAAGGGTTATTAGTCACCTAGGGCAATGACACAATTCTGAGTCCGATCTTACAGCGAGCCGATACCAAAGGAAACAATTGGGACAATACATATTGGCAGACCAACAGGTATTTGTTCATTCCGTAAGCAGATTGTCACTGGCTGGGATATAAATGATCAATAGTACAGAATCATCGGTTTTGTCCAGGATATAATCAGTAACTATACTAAACACAATTCATTTGAAGTCAGTAGTAATAACAAGTAGTTTAGGACCTTGCTTCATAGTTTTTCTAAACTTTATCTTGTTATTACTACCGAATTCTGCTTTAATTATAAAAAGATATGGTTCCTATCCAGTCCGACTTAAGACTATTCAACTTATACTACTTTATTAAATTTTTGGTTTTACACTCACTCTGATATTTCTACGCCTTTCTGCAAATATCTGCTTCTGTTGTATTTGTTGCTTTAATTGTTGTTTAGTAGTTGTTTCTGTTGTTGTTGTAACCTGAAATAAAGTTCGGAAGACTTTAGTAGGGATTCCCATAGTTTAAATATAAATTTAATATATTTTAGTATATACTTGCCAATTCCCCTGAATTAAATTGGCTTCATAGGGTTCGTCCTTCACGAGGGCACTTGAATTCCCCAAGGAACCTGTAGAAAACAAGATATTAGTTATTTTCAATTATTTGTTGAGAATGAAAATTCCTAAAGAAATAATATAATGAATTTGCTAGAGGAAATCTTTAATTTTAGGATATTTTCTAATCTCAACAACACTTATTCTAAGAAATTAATTTTGTTTTTATATTTTCATGTGGAAATGTCAAGGGGTATTTCTCGCCAAGGATCAAAGGATTTATCCTGAAATCTTTGGTGAATCTAGTCCTTGCATTTCCCACCTTTAACAAGAGACTTACCTGAGTCTTATTTGAAGTCCAGGTCGTCTAGTCTTCTTACTCCAATGAATGGATAATCTGAAAAGAAAGTGAAAAATGTTAGAAAGAAGTTCTAATAAAATTATATAAAAATTCCAAAACAAAAAAAAAAAATCACAAAAAAAAATATATAAAAACAAAAATTAAAAAAAAAAATACAAAAATACAAAACACAAAAACCACAAAAAAAAAAAAAATATATAAAACACAAAAAAAATCACAAAAAAAAATTTGAATTTTGAATTAGTAGATTTTTTTTTTATTATTTATTTTGAATTTAAGTTCGTTTCGTTCACAGCACACTTTTAGTGAACACCTTTCTTTTTTTTTTGCCATAGTTTTCATTTTAATTGTTTTGTTTACCGATTTCATTATTTTGTTTTCACGACCTTTTTAATTTACCACTCCGTTTTATTTTATTTTTTTTTGTTAATTTTCACTAATTTTTCTAATTTTTAATTTTCTAAATTTTTTTATTTTTAATTTTCACTGTCACACCACTTTTGCACACCACTGTAATTTTTATTCTCAGTTTTTCGGTTTTAACACTTCACCACAGATTAGGATTTATTTTATTTTAGATTTTCTTTTTATCACGGCCACTTTTCTCCGCCACTGTATTTTCCACAAAAAAAAATATTCGAAAAAATTTATTTAATTTCGCGTCGATTTTCAATTTAGTTTATATAAAATTTTTTGTATACCACTTTTGATTGTCACTGTATTAAAATTTTTTTTATTTTTGATTCATCACCCATTATTTTCACAACCACTTTCAAATTAATTTTAATTTTTTATGATTTTATTTTCATTTCACTTTTGTTATCCACTGTAATTAATTTTTTTTTACCGGTTTAATTTTCTTTATCACTTTAGTTTCCGTATCACTTTTAATTTTTTTTGTTCACTTTAATATTTTTGCTCACTTTTAATTTTAAAATCCGTACATTTTTGCCCGACACTGTAACTTTAATTTTTTTATTTTTTTTAGTTTTCAATTTCATTTTCACTTTAATTTGCATTTTTTTTTTGTTCTCTTTTCAATTTATTTTTTTATTACACTTTTGTCACTCACTGTAAATTTCATTTTTATTTTTTTTTTGTATCGACACAATTTTTTTATTGTAAATTTTCATTTAATTTTTTTCAATTTTTTTAGTTGTAATTTTTTTTTTTTGCGCACACTTTTGTTACACACTGTAGATTCCGTTTTAATTTTATTTGTTTGCCGACACAAATCCGATTTTTTATTTAAAATTTTCATTTAATTTTTTTATTTTAATTTTCTTTGATTCACTTTTGTCCCGCACTGTAATTTCTGGAAAATAATTTTTTATTGTTATTGCATACCGGCAGTAAATTTTTCACTTTTTATTTTGAAAGAAATTTTAATTTTTCGTTTTCATTTTTTTTTTTGTCCGTCCGCGCACTTTTTACCATCACTGTATTAAAATTTTTTTTTTTTTGTCCACAAATTCCTAACTGCACTTTTATTTTTATTTTACCACCACACTTTTATTTAATTAAATTCACTTTAAATTCATATTACTTACCTTTTTGTTTTTGTCCAAATCCAGAAATTACGTCTGCACACACACGATAAATAACTGTAGTCACATTCCTGAAAAGAGTAAACAAAAAAAAAAATGCATTAATAAATTTGTTGACCTTGAATATTTTTAATAATTTTTTTTTACTTACCAAAATTCCACCAGAATCCGCAGCATCCTTCGTCTATTCCTGAAAAGAAAATATAAGAAAAATTTTATTAGTATTTTGCTACATTTTCATATTAAAATTTCCAATTAGAAATAAATATTTTCGAAAAATAAAAACTCATTAACAAATACTTACCATTCTTGTTCACCGCCATTGAAAAATGATCGTACGCATTTACACATGCGTATTTTTCCTATGTTGCCTCCTCCCGTTCCAAAGTAAATTTATAAAGTAGACTCAATTGAACAGCTGACTATTTTTTTAAACTTGCTATTTGTGGACTTACTTGTCAAAAATGTTTATGTTGCCATATTTGTTTTCATTTTAACGCTTGCTTTTGTACAAATTTCTGAGTAATTTGTTGTATTTAATGTGAAAAAGTGTATAATATTTTTAAAAATGTTCTAATTTTTAAAAAATAAAGAAAACTCTGTAACTTTTAATATAAATAACAACATATTTTTGGAAAGTACAACAATAATGCCATATTTTCCATTAATTATTGGTTAATTTTTGTAAACAAATTTTGACAAATGAGTATTTCGAACAAAAACAAATTGCCTGTGGTTTTTGTAGACGTTTGTTGTACAACAACTCGTGTCGCTACTTTATTAATTTACTTTGTCCCGTTCCATTCATTCAAGCAGCTGTTCAGAGTTCGTCGCCGACCGTCCAATTTTTAACGGCGGCACAGAGTTGTACTTTCGTTCCCGAACGAATAAGGGTTGCCAGACTGCGATTTTTTATATGGGGATTAAAAAATGCCCAAAATTTTAAATTTTTATTTTATTAGGGTAATTCATAAAAATCAGGGCGCGTATTTTTCCCTCCCATTTTGTCTCCATAAATGGATGACAGAAATGGTGGGGTTTGTCGTGTGCACCCTGTAGGTAAATGTGTGAATGGTTGTAGAAATAAGAAGAAGGGAAAAATAAAGTTGGCAACGCGTCATTTGACATTTTTGAGAAAAAAAAAATGAAAGTAAACAAAAACAAACACGAGGAAAATTATTTGAAAACAGTAGATTGAATAGCTGAAAGGAATTGAAACAGTAGGAAGCCATTAGGGGATCCGAGGTTTCTCGGACCCTAATGTGCAAAATGTCGGTCTTTTTTCTTTGAGATTCAACGAAGCAGCAAGTGGCAAGTGCGCACAATAAAAGTCGCCTAAGCATTTTTAAAGTCTTTATTTAAATCAAACAATATAATATAAATTATATAAATTAAACACCAAAAAAAAAAGGTTATACAAATATTTCAACGCCACCTCTGCCGACTTCCAACGTGGGATCTTTCATTTGGGAACATCGGCTCCGCACTGCCAATCCTGGGGTGCGCAGGTATACCCAAAGGTTTCGACCATAAAGATTTTTGACCCTGAACGACAAGACGGACTGACAGTACCTTTTAAATAATTAATAAAAAAAAAAAGGTAAATAATAAATAAAAAAATTTATATATATATAAAATAACAAGCTTACCATTGGTTAGAATCGGACCAGACCGCTGGCCAAAAATTACCGCCAAGCGTGCGCGACGTTAGGGTTGAGCTCAGGCCTAGTTTTTTAGAAGAATTTGCGGCAGATTTGCACCCAGTAGCTCAGTATTTTTATACGTATATATATGTAAAAAAAAAATAAATATATATAAATAATTATTTAAAAGATATTTAAAATTTTTGCAAACTGACCTGAATTACCCGGACCTGGACAGAATACGGACGACGGAAACCCCACTGCAACACCTGCCAACTCCATAGCCGTAGGACCTGTAGAAGAAAGAGGAGAAAATAAAGATAAAATACTTAAAAGCTAAAATATAAGGATACTTAAAAGCTAAAATCTAAAGATACTTAAAATCTAAAAATACTTAAAAGCTAAAATCTAAAGATACTTAAAATCTAAAAATACTTAAAAGCTAAAATCTAAAGATACTTAAAATCAAAAAAAAAATATATACTTTAAAGCTAAAATCTAAAAATACTTAAAAGCTAAAAGATAAAAATACTTAAAAGCTGAAATCTAAAAATACTTAAAATTTAAAAATTTGATAAAACTAAAAGCTGAAAACAATTTGTCAAAAGCTAAATTCTTAAATCTATTTAAAACTTAAAACCTAAAATTTAAAACATACTGCTTTAAAACTAAGAGATTATATTGTGAAATCATACTACTAAAGCCTAAATCTACTTAAATCTAAAGCTTAGAATCTACAAAAACTTAAAATTGGAAAACTAAAGAAAATTTGTTAATCTAAAAGCTAAATGTGTTAAACCAATAATTTGTATATAAAAATTTTTTTGTAATAATAAATATCTCCCTTAAACTCATTTTTTTTGGATATTGTCCATTAAAAATTTTTGTAAAATTTAAATTTTGCCGTAAGCTAAGAAAAATTCTAATAATTAATAAAAAAAATTATGTTTATAACGTTTTAAAGAAATTTTGAAAAGTTGTGTCATTAATATGATTTGGTAATTTGTTTGAAAAGCGGCGGTAAGTAGGGGAAGTGAATGTTTGCAGGGAAGATTTGGGGGACGTCAAGGAAGAGGACGTCATGGTGAGGTTGAATCCTCTAGTGGGAGGACAATAATGTGTATAGGTATGACCGCAGGGAGATGCAGGACTACTTTTAGGCCCCTTTTATTTTTAACGAATACCCTAAATGCTGGTATGATTTTTGTGTCAGTGTGTGTTGATGGTCCAGATTGCCGGCAAGAACCACCCCATCCGGCGAGCTTTAGCCGCGCAATACGCGGGCATACCAGCGTCGCTGGCAATCTGGCCACTTTGTCCCTTTTTGTTTAATTGTTTTCTGTTTTGTCCTTAGGACAAAACAGATGCTGAAAAACACCACTACAATTAATACAATTTTTATAAATATAAACATTAAAATGTTCTATTTATTGATTAGTATAAATTATGCATTTATAAATTTGGTTTTAAATTTAAGTTTTCATTAATTTTCATATTAAATTTACAATTGTCTTCTTTTTTTTATAAAACATGCATTGTTTTGATAACAAACAGTGACATTTTCTGTTGTTTTGTATGGGAACACTGCGAAGTTTAATCTTGTACTCAGAAACATCAAAGGGGATTAACATCAGATTAAATTTATGATTAGATTAACTAATCAGATTATTAATTGGCATTTGATTACCAACTCAAAAACTCGCTCTAAGTGTGTTATAAAAAAGCAAATTTCAGACTTTGATCATTAGATTAACGTCAGCGTGATTTTCGGAATAGGGACTTCAATGTGGAATTGGGTCAATTATGGACCAAGTTCTCCATAATTTAAAGATTTTTTTAATTCTACCATAATTCTATCATAATTATAACTTTTGGAATGATGTATTAGCTATAAATTGATTTTCCGTAAGAGTGTTATATTGGCGGACGGATCATCATAATTTTAGGTTTCATTTCGGTTAGTAAAATTTTTCGTCGAATTCTTTAATTACATCGACATTTGAAAGCCAATTATGTGCGTTTAAGTCATTTTAAAAACAAATTAATTTTACATAGGCAATTTTTATTAATCGATTGAGAGAAATGAAACGATTTATTCGTTATTTAAAATTTGTCAATTTTCTGTTATTCAAACTACATTTAACTATTTTAAAAACCTAATAGCAAAGACAAAATTCCCAATAAATGTATACATATTTATATTTCCCGCTTTTAATAACTACACTCAAAACTATTTCATGGATGCTATCTTCACATCCATAATAAAAACAACAAATTTTGTTATCATTATTCAGCTGTTTACTCCACCGAAATTTTGTTCGATTTCTGCTTTTCTCTGATTAATCATAGGAAAATTAATAATTTTTGTCCACAAAACGTTTGGAATATGTATTAAAAGATGAATAATAATAATCCAAACATAATATTTAATCCCTTGATAAGTGCAATACAAAAAGTTGTGCTATATGAAACTAGAACGGTAAGAAAATAAACAAGAAAACCTTTTGTAGAAGGAGTAAATAAATAAAGTTATTTTTTAGCGTTTGTATTTGGTGGGCAGTAATAATAGAGAAACACGCTTTCGTCTGCTAACTATCGATCGCACGCAACACGATCGTTTGGTAATAGATGAAAATCCTAATGAATTCAATGCCTTGGAGATACGAAGATTCCTCAGCTCTTTGGGAGGCTCACCTAAGGTTATATCAGCCTATGGAGTATTGGGTTTTGTAAGATTCTTGGAGGGGTACTATTTAATATTGGTAACAAAGCGAAAATGTTGTGCTCATTTGGGCATGCATTTAATTTATACCATCAAGGATACGGTTATGGTTAAGGTCAATGAACCCACCGTTGCCCTAAAAACCCCACATCCCTATGAGGAGCGCTATAAGAAAATGTTTCAAAATATCGATTTAAGGAGTAATTTTTATTTTTCGTACTCCTATGACTTAACACGCACTTTACAGTATAATTGTTCGGCACCCAGATATGTGGGTCCTCATGTGGATATTGAAACTGATGAGCCTTTGCCGGATTGGGATTCTTTAACAAATAATGTAGAGAACTCTAATGAGCGGGTAGATTATGCGTTTAGGAGCTGTTCGCGTAAACGTTTTGTTTGGAATGCATTTCTATTGGAACCCATGCTGTCGTGTGGCATTATGTTGAGGGATTGGCTTTTGGAGGTAACTCATGGCTATGTTAGTCAATCGTGTATTAGTGTTTTTGGAAGACGGGTAAATGTTTGCTTGATAGCACGCAGAAGTACCAGATTTGCTGGTACAAGATTTCTAAAACGTGGAGCTAATTTTCGTGGCGATGTGGCCAATGAAGTGGAGACAGAACAAATTGTAACAGATGGTCATAATATGTGTTCTTTTACGCAAATGCGTGGCTCGGTGCCATCACATTGGTCTCAGGACATTAGTAAAATGGTACCAAAACCACCTATACAACTAGATATTTCCGATCCCTATGCCCAAACTCCGGCAAGGCATTTTGAAAGATTACTCTTTCACTATGGTTCACCTATTATTATCTTGAATTTGGTTAAGAAACGTGAAAAGCGTCAACATGAAAATATCATTGCAAAGGAGTTGGTTAACAGCATACGGTATTTGAATCAATTTTTGCCACCTCAACATCGCATGAAATACATACACTTTGACATGGCTCGCAAAAGTCGAGGCGGTGGTAATGTTATGGAAATGTTAGCAGACATTGCTGAATCAGTAGTACAGCAAACTGGCATGTTTTTTAAAGCACGCGGTCATCCATTGTCCTTCCAAACTGGATTGGTGCGCACAAACTGTGTTGATTGTTTGGATCGTACAAATACAGCACAGTTTGCTATTGGCAAATGTGCTTTGGGTCATCAGTTGGAGCGCTTGGGTTTTATAAAATCTCCTAATTTAGAATTTGATTCGGACTGTGTTACCATGCTAGAGAATTTATACGAGGAACATGGTGATACCTTGGCTTTGCAATACGGTGGTTCTCAATTGGTTCACCGTATTAAGACATATCGCAAGACTGCTGCTTGGGCCTCACAAGGCAATGATATTATGCAGACGTTGAGTCGTTATTATAGCAATACCTTTAACGATACCGAAAAGCAGCACAGTATTAATTTGTTTTTGGGCTATTACAAGCCCAGTAAGAGTCATTTGAAACGTAAGTAGTTTTGGAATTATAAAATTAGAGAAATTTAAAACTTTGTTTACAAATTTTCAGAAAACCAACCCATTTGGGAGCTACAAACCGACTACTATATGCACAATGCTTACAAACCTTTAACGCCGGCCAATGAGACTCGGCTCATCACCGATTGGGTACGCATGAAAGTTCGCAAATGTCTACCATATTCCTGTTCGGATGCCAATAAAATTGTTAAAGAACTATTTCGGGTACACAGCAAAGATTTAGAAATGATTGATGGTTATTCTAACTATCATCAATCATTCAAATGGACAGACTTAAGTGAACATATATCATTTGAAATCAGTCAATTAGCCATGCGTCACTTGCCAACTTTTCGCACTAACTACTCACCATTCCAAAGGCAAATACAAGAACGTAAAAAGCCTAAAAATCCCTCACTTACAGGACAAAGTTCAACTAGTTCGACTACCAGTAATGATTCAAGTTCTACCTCTGAAGCTTCCGACAGTTCATCGGATGAGGAATTTAGTGCCTCTTTATCGTTGAAAGAACAAAATCTAAACAAAACTCTGGATAAAGAAGCACCTTTAACTTTGGCCACTCTATTGCCACCCATGGAAGAGGTGTACGGTTGCAAGGTAAGTAATCCATCTAAAGAAAATATGGCTATTTACAAACGTTATGTACAAATGGCTAAATTAACAACACAACCCTTGAGTGCCACTGGTGGTGTAGCATCACAAACCATGACAATAGCAGGCAACAATTTATCCTCTTCATCTCCAAGTACACCAAATGCACGTAATACGGGCATACAATTAAAACCTCTAAGTGATTATGGTACAGATTCGTATTTGTCGGTTAAACCGCCTACTGTAAGTGAGGAAAGTCAACGTATTTATGAAGAATACTGTAAAAGTCCACGAAATTTTAACGCTGTACCCAAAATAGATGAAATGGATAAGTTATATCGTTACGTTTTAATGCTCTGATTAAAAAAAAAAACAACAATATTTATATACTATTTATAAAATATATAATAAACAAAATTATTACCTAATGCAAGATAATCTATTGAAATTACAAATTTTTCACATTTAGATAACTATAATGTAAATTTTTGCTCCTTTGAAATTGTCGGTAGATAGTTCACCCAGGTATTCATACCCAAAAGCTAAACAAATTTCAAAAATATTTAATTTTTTACGCTTGCGAAAGTGTTTATTTTCATACGATTCCTTCATGTCTTTGGTTAATACTAAATACTTTTTATCTACAATTGCAAAATAGATACACAATACAATTATACTAGAAAAAATTAACATTAACAATTTGTAAACAACAACAATTTTTGCACAACAAAAACAGGAAAAAAAAACAAAATTTTAACAAAAAATCGAATATTCAAATATTCATCCTAAAAATATACTACAAAATATGCAATAAAATTAAAAGCCTAAAAGTCTATGGCTCAATTAATCATCTAGTCGACGTTGTTTTAGGTTCTCCATCAACGGTATTGTTCACTGAAGTCGTAGGTTTCTCATAGACATTTTCCTGTCTCGGTAATGTAGATTCTTGTTGCTGCAAATGCATGGGATTATAACCGGCTTTCTGTCCCATATTCATAGGAAATGTTGGCTGTGGATGATTGTGTATGGGTGTTGTGGCCTTATAAACACCAGCCAATTCTTGTGATAACATATATTGCTCCTGTTCGGGATAATCATGTTCACAATGATGTTCTCCACAGATTTTACATTCATAAATATTTGGACGTAAAGCAATTTGGAAACGCTAAATGGAATGAAATAGTTATAAAAATAATATAATTTTATAATTTATCAAAAACTTACTTCTGCTAAACTGCTACCTTGAGCTTTCCACAAATTGATTATAGCATAATACGGTATACAGACCAGAGAGAATGAGGCAAACATCCATCCGATGCCATAGGCCCAATCGGGATAGGTATAGTTTCCATTGTGATAGGTGGGCTCTTTGTAATTAATTAAACTTAATATCCAAATAGCCTAGACATAAATAGAAAATAATTTTGTAATAACCTCAAAAGCTTTTCTTATATATTTTATATTTTCTGTTGTTAACTTACAAATAACAAACATGGTCCGCATAATATCCAACATGATTTCAAATACAAGGACGGTGCCTTGCCTGTCATTTGTTTAACATTTTTCGATAGTCTTCCTGTACCATAGAACCAAGCAATTGCAATCATTTGACAAAAAGCTAAAAACATAATCGTAACAGAGGCAGCATAATGATCCATTAATTGAAAGAAGTATATACCACCCTATAATGAAAAGGTGAAATTAAAAATTATTTGTTGGAAATTAAAATCGGTAGATAAGGCCTCCTTTAGGAAACCAGTTTGTCACAGTAAATAGTTCATACATATATCACAGGTTTCCCTATCATGAGTTGCTTTATCATATTCTTTACAAAAGTTCCGTTATGAAAGCTTAAAGATAGATAGATAGATAGATAGATAGATAGATAGATAGATAGATAGATAGATAGATAGATAGATAGATAGATAGATAGATAGATAGATAGATAGATAGATAGATAGATAGATAGATAGATAGATAGATAGATAGATAGATAGATAGATAGATAGATAGATAGATAGATAGATAGATAGATAGATAGATAGATAGATAGATAGATAGATAGATAGATAGATAGATAGATAGATAGATAGATAGATAGATAGATAGATAGATAGATAGATAGATAGATAGATAGGTAGATAGATAGATAGATAGATAGATAGATAGATAGATAGATAGATAGATAGATAGATAGATAGATAGATAGATAGATAGATAGATAGATAGATAGATAGATAGATAGATAGATAGATAGATAGATAGATAGATAGATAGATAGATAGATAGATAGGTAGGTAGGTAGGTAGGTAGGTAGAGATAGATAGATAGATAGATAGATAGATAGATAGATAGATAGATAGATAGATAGATAGATAGATAGATAGATAGATAGATAGATAGATAGATAGATAGATAGATAGGTAGATAGATAGATAGATAGATAGATAGATAGATAGATAGATAGATAGATAGATAGATAGATAGATAGATAGATAGATAGATAGATAGATAGATAGATAGATAGATAGATAGATAGATAGATAGATAGATAGATAGATAGATAGATAGATAGATAGATAGATAGGTAGGTAGGTAGATAGATAGATAGATATCCACACAGAGGGAAAAAGAAATATACACGCTTGGTACCAAATTGGCACCAAAGAGTTTGTAATTTTTCAATAACAACCGTTGTCAAAGTATATACATACGTACGACAACACTATGTCGCAACGTTGTCAACATTGCAACAATTCGTTGTCGAAATCTAAATTTTTTACACATACGTTGTCTAAATGTTAACAAACGTGGTAAGTTCACTACTGCAAACAATCCGTTGCCAATAGTGAGCTTACCACGTTTGTTAACATTTAGACAACGTATGTGTAAAAAATTTAGATTTCGACAACGAATTGTTGCAATGTTGACAACGTTGCGACATAGTGTTGTCGTACGTATGTATATACTTTGACAACGGTTGTTATTGAAAAATTACAAACTCTTTGGTGCCAATTTGGTACCAAGCGTGTATATTTCTTTTTCCCTCTGTGCAAAACATTTTTTTACTTACCTGTATTAAATTTGGCAGTCCGAATAAAAATGATATGACACAAACTATTAAAACTACAATCTCGTGATAACCTAAATGTTTTTTAATCCAATTGGGAAAACCGTCCTGTATCGAAGTGACCACCACTTCAACAATGGCAAACTGTAAATCAAATTAAACAAAAGTTATATTCAATATGTGTTTAAAATTTGAAATATAAAACTTCAGACTCACCTGTGAATTTAAACCCAAACACAATAACATAAAGAAAAACATTACGGCCCATAATTGAGCATAGGGCATTTTGGCCATAGCTTGTGGGTAAACCACAAATATTAATCCCGGCCCATCGCTGATGACATCTTTAACATTTGTATTCTGTTCCAAAGCCAAATTGCCCAAGGTGGCAAAAGCAAAGACACCAACCAGCAAACTAGTCAAAATATTCACCACACTCACTGCCACCGTATCACGTAAAATATTGTTATTGTATTTGTTGTAGCTGGCAAATGAAATCATCGAACCGAATGTTATGCCCAATGAATTGAAATTTTGCGAGGCAGCATTAATCCAAACGTTGGCATTTTTCAATTCGGACCAATTGGGTCTAAAGAAATAACGTAAACCATCATCGGCACCCTCCAAGGTGACAGCGCGACCCATTAGAATAATGATTAAAATGAAGGGGAAAGTGGCGGTAAAATAACGGACCTAAAATTTTTCAGAGGGTACTTCAGTCTAGATTCTTCTGTTAATATAATTAAAATTGATCAAACCTTTGCTGATGATTTAATGGATTTCCAGGTGGCAAAGTAAACCATTAACCAGGCACATATTAAACAGGCAAACAATTCCCAACGCATTTCTCCAGGATACTCTATACCGGGACTTATCTGCAGCACTTTGTTTCTGTGTTAAAGAATTCTCTTAAGTTTGTTTGAAGTTTTTATGGTTTATTATTTTTTTGACTACTTACTGGAAAAATTCTTCTGAGGGCGTTCTCGAGGATGCAGGTGCTGTGGTATTGTCTGACAAACGTTGAGGCACCCAACAGTCGGGAGTATTCCATCTAAAAAATATAAATGCAAGTTTAGATTTATTAGGGTTTGGTAAATTTTTGTTTCTTATTACCGATTATTGCAATCTATCCAGGGTTGATCTGTTTTAAAGGCTGTGAAGAAATAGTATATGGAATAGCCAATTATGACACTGTAATAGGTGGACATTAAAAATGACACTACGACACTTGCCAAACCAGCACCTAAAATTAAAATGAAATGTTAAAAAAAATCTAACATAAAACTAAAATTAAACAAAACTAAAGAGTTTAGAATATACAAAAGTTTTTATTTTCTTCAAATATAACTTCCTATTATTTTAGCAATTTTTATTATTATTTATTTTTTAATGTATTTCAACGATTTATTATGATTTATTCCTTTCCTTATTAAAATTCTAATAAATAACCTAAATAATTATGTTTACAATTTAAAAAAATTACACTAATTGCTCCTAAACATAAATACAAATTGACTTTAAAAAAAGTCTAGACAAATCATCATTTGTTAAACAAAAATTTAACCATAAAACTAAAATTATAGACGCTATAATTCTCAGTTATAAAAATTTATTTGCAACCATAATTAGTATGATTTTTATAGACATAACGACTAATATGCAGATGTAGTTAAAAGTTTAAACTGATTTGATTGTGTATAACACTTGAAAACAATTATAATTACTTTTCTAATGAAAAAAGCTAAACTAATAAATATTTATTAGTAAAAAAGAATTTATATAACTGTAAGTACATATTAAGAGCGGATTTTTTTTTTAAATTTTAAGTATCAGATATAGTGTTATAAACCTTGCAAGGGTAAAGGTATAAAATTCATAACTTACGATATTATAAAAATTGTTTGCATCACGCTACTATCTTAAGATTCCCACAAATACTATGGGTTTGAAAATCACAACTAGTTCTAAAACGTGTGTATTTTGTCTACAGCAGATTTGGTTTTAAGTTAACATAAATGAGAATAATTTTCAACTTCGGAACTAGTTCTGTGCAATAGTAGTCTATAGTGCTGACTATAGACCAGTCTATAGTGCTGACTATAGACCAGTCTATAGTGCTCACTATAGACCAGTCTATAGTGCTGACTATAGACCAGTCTATAGTGCTGACTATAGACCAGTCTATAGTGCTGACTATAGACCAGTCTATAGTGCTGACTATAGACCAGTCTATAGTGCTGACTATAGACCAGTCTATAGTGCTGACTATAGACCAGTCTATAGTGCTGACTATAGACCAGTCTATAGTGCTGATTTCAACATAGGATTTCGAAAACTTTAATTTTGAATATACTTTGGAGGTCCAAACTAGCGTATATTATTTAATGATATGAAATATAATAAAAGCTAAAAGAAAACAACTAGAATATTGTTTTCTTTTAGCTTTTATTATATTTAGTCAGGACTATTCGCCGATCATCAGAAATATTTCTACCCAAACGTTGCTATAAAGTATGTTTCACTGTGAAGACCTCAAATAACTGCAACTGCGAATTTAAAATCTTATTAAAATTAATATTTAGTTTTTATATAATTGGCCCTATTTAGCTCTTTTACATCATAATTTTAAATTAGCTATGACATATACTTTTAAATATTAACTTAATTTCTTTATAAATGCGACTCAAATCATTATGGTAATATTACATAGTCCTCTATGTTTATGGAACAAGATCTATTTGGAATTATATTGTTTGCAAATAAAATGAGGTGTGTACAAACATTTAAAAATGTTGGTACTTATTAATGAATAATTAATTTTTTACTGCATTAATTTTTCAATTTGTTTTTCAAATCCCTTAGATGTCATTATAGATAAATTTAACGCCTACATACATACGTACATTCGTACGTATTTATTGTTAGTTTAAAAATATTTATTTATTTCCTGGTTGATTGTCTATTTGAATTTGTTTTATTTTATTATGACCGTTTTACAAATAAAATAGTACTACAGCAGCCACATTTTCCGCTTTGTTACAATTTACTAATTAGCATACGGTTGAAAAATTTCTACACTACACTTCTCTCCACTAGAAAATAAATCATATGCATTAGAGAATGAAGATATTATTTGTATTTTAGACATAAATTCTAAATAATTAGATCATGGTAACAATGAGCATCGATAACTGTAGATTATTTATGTTAAAAATCAAGATCATTTGTAAGGGACAAACTTCAAAAAATACACCAATTATTTCTATTTTTGATTATCGCTTATGATTATTTGGTACTTACCCTTAAATAGTGGACACAGTTGTCCTAAAGCACCTATGGGCCCTCTGCCTGTATATTGGCCAATTGATAATTCCATAAATAACAACGGTATACTGCAGATAATCAATATAATACAATAAGGAACCAAGAAAACACCTGGAAATAAAAAATTAATAAATTTATTACAAATTTAATGGCAATTCAGGTCAGATAGAGGTCTGGACGTTGAGCCATAACGATCGGTCCTTATACCTAGTCCCCTACAGAAAATTATAAATACGTTTTATGTAAACATAAATTCATCTACAAAATTTTATGAGGATCGGTCCTTATGTTCCTCTAGCTCTCAGTTTTTCATCAATAAATTACTTTAATATATTGTAAACAAATTAAAACTTAACATAAATCACATTCTATACACAAAAGTGGTGTAGGGTGTCTTTCTTACTTGTTTTGTGCTTATATAGAGGCTAGGATTATATGAGATCTGATTTTCACAAAATTTTACAATATAAAATCTGAGTAAAAAAATGTATCTCGATATATGACTGTTCAAACTGTATTCTGGGAGCCGCTAGTATGAAGGCCTTCAGCTCTAAAAAGTTGTGTTATCACAAAAACGGGAAACATTTTGTTTTTTTTTTTTTTGAAACAATGCTATTTTTTTATATCGGTCTATAATTTTCATAGTTTTCGCTTATTCCGAAAATCACCGAAAAGCATATATTTCATTGATTAATAAATATAGTAAATTACCTTCGGAAATTTTTTCCAATAAGTTGTAGCTCCCATTTAAGGTGCAAAAAATATTCCCGGATCGGTCCATAATTGGGCCTAGCCCCCATATAAAGTCCACTTCCGAAAACGACTTAAATGTTCATATTCCATTTATAAAAAAGATATTGGGATAAAATTTGAGCACAACATATTGTACAGCCAACATTTTCTGAACAAAGATCGAAATGGATAGACTACTCTTATTTTCAAAAAGGATTGAATAAGGTTGGCAATCGTTTCGAAACGGTAATGAGTTAACGGTTTAGGTATTTTGGCTTATTTCGGTAATGGTATTTTAGCGTTATCGGTATGTTGGCTTAATTCGGTAGTAGTATCTTAGCGTTGTCGGCATTTTGGCTTATTTCGGTATTGATACTTTTGCGTTCGGTATTTTGTCATTTTGCGGTAACGGTAGTGATATATATTTTAGCGGCAATTTTAGTCTTAATAATAGCCTAGTCTATAATCTAACCTATATTATAGTCTATAGTCTAGTCAATATTGTAGACTACTTAGTCTATATGTAACTACTCTAGTCTATACTGATGTTAACACCCTGCAAAAATTGAGACTACTCCGCAAAACGCGTGTAAAGAGTACTCCTCAAAGGACTAGGACTGGTCCAAATATATGTCAAAAACATACTCCATTTAACATTATGATGTCATAGGTGAGGACCCCGTAATCCATCAATGCATTACATCGGAGTAATCCCAAAATTAGTTCCTTGTTGAAATTATGGGAGTACATGATCCTATGTAATGCAGGCTATGGACCATGTTGTCTAATAATGTTTACAGGCGAGTAGTTTTTGGATTACCTAATTGGATTATATGCTCCAATAATTTTTGCAGGGCAATATTAATTAAGTGAAGATTTATTTACTTTTTGGAAATTTTATTATTTTAAAAGAATAGCGGCAACTGTATTTTTGCGGTATCGGTATTTTGAGTTCTTTTGGTGGTGATATTGTAGCGTTATCGGTATGATGACTTATTTCGGTATTGTTATTTTAGCGTTATCGGTATTTTGGCATATTTCGGTATTGGTATTTAAGCTGTAACGGTAGTAGCGCTGAAAAAGTATTTTTGCGTTAACGATAGCTTAGCGATAATGGCTGCCAACGTTGCTCAAAATCAATCATCATAAGATAGAAGTAATAGTCTTTTAAATGTTGAGATATTGATTGTTTTCAATACAGGTTATAATTGATTGATTGATCGATTTCAATACAGGTTATAATTAAAATTTTCACCACAACCAAATTAATTTCAACTTATTTATCCATGTTGTTATTATAATTTTTTGTTTCTTCTATTAATTTCATAGTCCAATTTTGAGCTCATCGGATGTCATCATTTCTTTGATTGTAGCAATAACGTTTTCCTTTCCAAATAAAATGTCACAAAGATGACAAATTTGCCAAAGTTTTATTTTATAGCATTCGCACTTCATTTCGCAACGGATCTAGCTGATGTGGTATTTGTTTGTTAAAAAAAAATAATAAAATAAAATGAAATATTACGCTTGATAGAAATAAATTTGCCTAAAGAAATGTATTTTGTGCCACACATGAGTTTGTGTGATTTCTACTGAAAAGAAATTAGCGGAAACTGTAGATAATCTTTAGTATTTGTTTCTTTCCTCCAAAGATAACAGATCTTAGTTTTCATATTTTCTTAAACAAAATGTGTTTTTTATAGAAAAGAGCATACAAAATAATAACACTACGTCAACATGTATCATCATCATACTATTTGTTACTCGGGACAAAAGTTTAAAATTTATAATATTTTTATTTTACTATGATACGTATCATAATATAGATTTTATTTAATCTTTTTTAAACAATTGGATGTAAAAGGAAATTAGTATTTAAATATTTAAGCGTTTTTTTTTCTGTTTGCTATTGTTTTTATAGTTTAAATACTCGTTTTAGTTATAAATTTAAATGATATATTAACGTGGGAATTTTGAATTAATTTCGAATTATAAATATAAACTTACCTCCTCCACTTTTGTAGCACATGTAGGGAAAACGCCAAACATTGCCCAAACCCACTGAGTAACCAATACATGCCAATACGAATTGCATTTTATTGCCCCAATGTTGATTTCTGGGTTTCAAATTGGATGTTTCATCAGACATATCCATTAAACTATCATCGTCATCATCATCGACACCGGGTAGTCTGTTAGAAAAGTAATGTATTAGATTTAATTAAATTTTTATTTTCTAGTTGAAATATGATAAACTAACTTTGATGGCATTATCAACACTAGAGACTAAAAGAGCGTTTAACCGGACGGATAGATCACATAATTCTGTGCGTTTGGAAATATTTTACTGAATTTTTTTTTGTCAGAGAGAGTCTGTTTTTTTGGTTTAAAAAGGTATTAATGCTTTTATTAAAATGTTATATATTTTTGAAACGAGGTCTGGCAAAGAAATTCTTTAAATATATTTTATATAAATTGTAATTGGGTTTTTTATATAGGTTCGTTTAAAGATCTAACTGACACCTGTCAAATATGTGAGAAGCGTTAATTTTCACAGCTAAATCGCTATCTTGAAGTAAGATAACCAGTCGCGCAACTAATATTTTTTTGTCAGATCTCTTTTCCAGTTCGTATACTTTTTGAACTGACCTCGTATATTTGAATAAAATTCAGCCATTTTGACTATATTGTGTTAAAATATTTAAATTAGTTTAAAATATAATTTTTCTTTAAATAATGCCTTTATAAAATGTTAAAGAAAATAAATACATAACAATATTTTTTGTGTAACCTGATATTTGTATTTGTTTAAAAAATTCTCATCAAAAAAATAATTTAAAATGCAGCATTTTTCTACATGATCATCGGTATAATTAGTTTATCATCATGTTTTGTAATGTGTTTTAATAATCACCCCTATTCTGGATTTCAATTCGAGTCAAAAGTTTCTCCGTTTGGCAACTTTGTTATTCTGCATTTTGATTCGAATCTCCTTCACTACAATAACAACTTACAAAAAGGAATTTACGATCGTAAAGTACTACACATTCATACGAAATAGAATTGCTTCTTCTTTTTCTTACGATTCCCCTTTTTGTTGGAATACTGAAACGTTCTCCATTAATTTAAAGGGTTGGCGTAAACAATGACAAATTTCATTGGCGCCAACAGAGCTTAACATATTTACCGACAGCCAGAAGGCAATTAGGATCAAGTTAAATCTAAGATTGTATTGGATAGTAAGAATACTTTTCCAGAGGTAAGGTTTATGGGTACCAGGCCGAGGGCGAGCTCCCTTCCATTAAAGGGAATGAGAGCAATGCGAGAAATCTCCTCAAAATAAGCAAGTCTGAGGTTAGTATGATGGTACGTATTCTGAGTGGACACATCATTACGGGCGGATTCTGACGAATGTAGAGCATGTGGAGAGGACAGTGGAACTCTGGAACACTGTCTTTGTCAATGTCAGGCATTGGGCGAAGTTAGATCCAAATATCTTGGGAGTGATATTATTCCGGAATTACATCCAGGAAACTGAGTTTCTGAATATTGAAAGGCAATACATTCAGTGAACACTTTTTAAAATTTCATGAAAAAGAGCACACAACAGGGTTGATAGTGGACTAGGTGTATTTGGTGTAGTATACATCCTCCTATCAACCTAACCTAACAGAAGTCCATTTATCAAGTTCTTAAAGGAAGTTTTTAAAGGATGCTTCAAATAAATATCTATTTACAATCACCATCATCAAAAAAGATTATATTGATTTTGTCATCCCGTTTGTTATACATCGAAACATTGGTCTAAGACTTATGAAAGAATATATATAGATTCTAAGACGATCTAGTCCGCCCGTCCGTTTATCTGTATGTCTGTTGAAAACATGGCATATTTTGAACGGAACGAGTTAGAGAGCTGAGAGGGAGACAGTTGCCAAAATAATTTCAGTTGTAGTTTGTTTGGTACTGAAAATAGACAATATCGTTCGACGAATTCACATGGACCCTTAAAAGGTCCTCTAATTATAACGCTCGTAACTAGCTTAAAAAAGCATGTATAGCGTCAAATTTCATGGTGATCGAAATTCGACATAAGAACTAAATTCTCTCTGTCAAATTTACCATAATTTACCCTAACTCCATATAAGGTCCCCTTCAGAAAATTACCATGATGCTCATAAATGGTTTATAAAAACATTTAAAGTGGTGAAATTGGACTTAAACAAGTTCTATAGGTACTACAATATCTCCTTCAAATATTATGAGGATCGGACCATAATAGACCCTACCCCCATATAAAGTCCCTCTCAGAAAATTACTTTAATGCTCATAAAGTTCCAATATAGCAACGAAATTTTACATAAAAAGTTTTTATAGGAACATAAATATATATGTAAAATTTAGAAAATGTCTATAAACCTTATAACTGACTTAAAAAAGCATGTATAGCTATCTAATTCGATATAAACCAGTATAATTAAAGCCATAATGTTTCGTCTGATATTTTGAGGATCAGTCCATAATAAGGTCTCCCTCATAAAATGACTTTAACGCTCTTAACGCTCTTAAAAGCCATAATGTTTCGTCAGATATTTTGAGGATCAGTCCATAATAAGATCTCCCTCATAAAATGACTTTAACGCTCTTAACTGGCTCAAAAATGCCAGTATAGCAAAGAAATTTGATATCAAAAGTATTATTGAAACCAAAATCTTTGTCAAATTTTATGAGAATCAGTCCATCATTTTATGAGAATCGGTCCATAAATCATTAAATTAGTTTATTTTGATAAAATATATTTAACTAGTGGTGCCCAGTCCGCGTTATAGGCCTTTGATTGGAAGTGTGGATTCTTCACAAAAACGTCTATATAGCACTAAAATTTTAAAATGATCGATTTGCGGTTTAGGTGTAATTCACTGAAAATTAAAACTTCGACGCCATCTGTCGCACAAATTTAAAATTTTACAGGTACACTTCTCACGATCCCTGAAACATAAACATATTTGAAATTTTGTCCTATCAGTAGCCGTAGTTCCTGAGATTATCGATTACGAACAAACATTACTCTTTTATTTATATAGATAGAAGATTAAGATTTATTGAATAAGTATATTGTGGTAGCAAACAACAAAAATATCGATTCATATACTATTAGGCCGCCTTCCGAAATGCACTTAAAATTTATGGGTATGGCCCTTCCGTATCCGTAAAGACATACGGACAGAATACTCGAATTTTATGTTAGGAAGAGTTAGAAATGGATTTTTTTTGTCCAAAAATTTTTGCATTCTGCCACACTGTGCATAATATTTTCTAAGGAAATCCCATATTAATCATTACCTTAATATTTATTAACATGATAAATTGAAATTTATAATGGATTCGCTAATTGTTGAAAAAACAATAATGTCTCGAGTCCATAATATTTGTTTCTATTAAAGTCTAGATATATTTGTTTTAAAATAAAAATTGTTAAAATTTTTCTTATTGAGAGTTTTAAATTTTCTTTGTACATATATTTTCTGAATCTAATAAAAACAAATATTAAATTTAATAATTTTAAATATAAACAATTATTGAGATCTAACTAATATTGTCATTTAATTTTGATTACGTGCATTTAATACATTAATATTTAAATCAAAATTTAATTGAAAATCTGATAAGTGTTTTTTTATTTCTCAATTAATCTGATCAAACTTTTTTTTTATTCAATGAAGCTTATTTATTTAATTGTTGTCAACACATTAAAATGTGTAAAATATAATTGTGTATATTTACAATTATTTTAATTTAATTGTTGTTTCAAAAGTTTTATTTTTAAAATTCTATATATTATATTTTTGTTTTGTTTTGTTCATTCATTTATTGTGATTATTAAACAATAGATACAGAGATATATACGTAATTGTAATAATAACATGTGGTTATTAAATAAAAAAGTAAATAATTAAAATTTACGAACATATAAATACTAAACAACGAAATAAAATTATAGGTATAATGGTCCGAAATTTGCTTTAACCGATTCTTTCTAACTAGTGATCAATCCCATCTTTAAGATTTTCTGTATCAGGGCTATGAACTGTCCTATTTTGGATGTAAAAATACTACTGACAAAATCGGATTAGAATTATTTCGATAAAAACGGGAAGAACTCCTTTTATCGGAATTCATAGGAATATTGTTTTCAAACAATTACAAGAAATTTAAAAATTTTATTTATGTAAAATGCGTGCTATTTATATTCTCCTCTCTGTCTATATAGATATTAATACCCACAAAATGTTACTCTCTTTATAATATAATAAGACTAATATTTCATTCGGTATTATTTATCTGATGTAACATTTCTATAGACGTATTTTGTTATTATTTTATAATTAAATTAAATTAATTACATGATTTATGCCATGATAAACATGTTTTAATTAATTGTAACACATTGGACACATGTATTTCCATGTAAAATGTGTGTTAAATTGTGTGTAAATAGATGAGTAATTTGTTTAAACAAACGTATGTTGAATTAAATTTAGGCGGCGAATATTAATTAGTTGAAACGACTGCGTAAAATGATCTATAAGAATCGTTCTTATATATCCGAATAAATAATAACAGTGCTACAAATAACCAGCTAGCATTTTTTGAAATGTTTGCTCACATTCGAGTCATTTTTGACTCTTGTGCACGATTAAAATGATCATATATACACTCATATTCTGGTCATAAATGATACTTTCGTCGGGAGGAAATGGTACGCTATCCGTGACTCTTCTAAAAGAGTATTTTATGAGCCCATCTTCTGATCAGTTCCGACTCATTAATGAGTCGAAATACTGGTCGTTTCGGAGTAATATTCGAATCATATTTTAGTAATTTTTTAGTCTTTTCTGAGACATTTTCCTTGGAATGTGTTTGTTGGTTAAAACAAAAAACTTATATAGTGATCAAAGAAGGTATTATCATCTAATGTTCGAAAACTCAGTTTTCTGGACGTAATTTCTAATAATTTTCCAATCAGTGTTCGTTGTGAATGTTTTCTCCAAAATAATATCACTTCCAATATATTTGAATATAATTTCGACGAAAGTCAGACAATAACAAAGAAAGTGCTCCCCAGTTTCACTGTCCTCTCTACATGCTCTACATTCGTCTGAATCCGCACGTTCAATTTGTGCCCATAACC